CTTAGAAACGATAAACGATAATATCATTGTTCCTAAGGAATGATAATACTATTGTCCTTAAGGAATGATAAAACCATTGTGCCTTAGGTATGATAATACCATCATCCCTAAAGAACGATAAAACTATTGTGCTTTAGAAATGATAATACCATCATCCCTAAGGAACGATAAAACCATCGTTCCTTAGGAACAATAATACCATTATCCCTAAGGAACGATAAAACCATCGTTCCTTAGGAACGATAATACCATCATCCCTAAGGAATGACAAAACCATCGTTCCTTAGGAACAATAATACTATCGTCTCTAAGGAATGATAAATACATTATTTCTTAGGAATGATAAATGCATCGTACCTTATGAACGATAAAACCATCATTCCTTAGGTATGATAATACATTGTTTCTAAGGAATGATAAAACAATCATCCCTAAGGAACGATAATACCATTGTCCCTAAGGAACGATAAAACCATCGTACCTAAGGAACAATAAATGCATTTTTCCTTAAGAATGATAAAACCATCATCCTTAAGGAATGATAATATCATTATTCCTTAGGAATAATAAAATCGTCATACCTAAGAAATGATAATACCATCGTATCTAAGAAATAATTCAATCGTTCTAATCAGACGTCAATCGGTTATAAATAAGATAGGTCAAATTTTGATATACAGTCAGACCTCTATATAATCACATCTAGTGTTCTGTAAAATCGGATCAAATCAGATTTTATCCAAATCCGATCTGATCCAATTTTCATTTTTCAGGATCTAAATCCGATCTAAATCTGACGGATCCGTTGAAATCCAGATCCGATCTGAATTTGATGAATCAAATCTCAAATCCGGATCTGACAGATCAGTTTGAATCCAAATCCGATCCGATCTGAATCTGAAAGCTTTATTAAAAAATGCATTTTCAGTTCTAAATAAGATCTGAAAATGTTTCTTTTCAATGAAAGAAACCTTTTCGGCTCTAAAAGAGTTCTGAAGAGTCGTTTCTTTTCATTGAAAGGAACCTTTTCGACTCTAAAAGAGTTCTGAAAATTCGTTCCTTTTCAATGAAAGAAACTTTTAAAAGAGATCTAAAAATTAGTTTCTTTTTAATGAAAGGAACTTTTCGGTTCTAAAAGAGATCTGAAAATTCATTCCTTTTTAATGAAAGAAAATAAATATTCAGTTCTAAAGAAGTCTAAAAATTCATTCCCTTTTAATGAAAGGAACTTTTCGGCTCTAAAAGAGATCTGAAAATTGGTTCCTTTTCAATAAAAGGAACTTTTCAGCTCTAAAAGAAGTCTGAAAATAAATGCCTTTTCAATGAAAGGAACTTTTCAGCTCTAAAAAAGGTCTGAAAATTCGTTCCTTTTCAATGAAAGGAGCAAATTTTCAGATCTAAAAGTATCTGAAAATTCGTTTCCTTTCAATGAAAAGAACTTTTCAGCTCTAAAAGAGATCTGAAAATTGGTTCCTTTTCAATGAAAGGAAATAAATATTCGGCTCTAAAGAAGTTCAAAAATTCGTCCCTTTTCATTAAAAAAGAACTTTTCAGCTTTAAAAATTTGAATTCAGATCCGACGGATCAGATCTGAATCTGAATCTAAATCTGACAGATCAGATCTGAATCTGAATCTGAATCCGAATCTGACAGATCTGATCTGATCCAAATCTGAATCTGAATTAGATCTGAATCTGATAGATCCGATCTGAATCTGATCCGTCAGATTCAGATTGGATTCAGATCGATCCGAATCTGTGCAGAACACTAATCACACCTTATATAGTCACACCTCTATATAAGAATCTGATTTTGTAAAATGGACTTTAACTTAGTTAATTTACCTCTTTATAGTCACAAATTGATTATAATCACTATCATCACATGATCTGTAACCTATATATTATTTATATTAATAATTCAACCTTTATACAATCACTAATTTTTGATTGATCACAAATTAATGAAATTCGATTAGCTGCAAATTATTTTTATCAATTGATTTTTGTTTTTTTTTGACAAAAAAAATTTCTCACTTCTAAGATGTAAAACGAGGTTAAAAGCAATTTTAAAAAAAAAATATTTTTTTTTTTAACCAGTCATTATTTCTTTTTTTTCTTAGCTGTTTTTTTTATTTGCTAGTTTTTTGCCATTGCTTGTTGTTAGAGTTTGCCAGTTACTTATCGAAACTTTGATTTTTTGTTGAAGTTTGCTAATTACTTATCAAAACTTTCTCATTGATTTTTTTGTTGAAGTTTGTCAATTACTTATCGAAACCTTTTTTTAATCTTTTGTTGTTGAAGTTTGTCAATTACTTATCAAAACTTCCTTTTAGTCTTTTATTGTTGAAGTTTATCAATTACTTGTCAATACTTTTTTATTTTTTGTTGGATCTTTATTGGTTACTTTCCTTTGAATTTTTGTTGTTAATTTTTTGTTAGATATTTTATTATCCTTATTATGATTCCTCCTTCACCTATAAGACGCCGTTCAGCTATCAACGATAATCATAGACGTCAAATTTGTGAATGGTCAGATGCTTATAAAAATAAAAAACATCATGAAGTTGCAGCATATTTTAATAAGAAATATCCTGACCTAGAATTTGATCAAAGTACTATATCGAAGATTCTAAAAGAAAAGGATAGGTGGAAAGTTGTAATTAGTACTAAAATTTCAAATAAACATTTAGGTAAGGGTATTTCTTTATAATTTTAAACTTCATTACTACTACTTATGGACTTTTAAAATATAGGCATAGAGAAGTTAAGTTTCCGATATTAAATCATGCTATGAGCTTATGGGTAGAGAATGTAACAGCTGGAGGTGTTACTTTAACTGATTTATTAATTAAAGAGAAAGCTAGAGTTTTTGCTCAAGTATTTAATATACAAAAAGCTAACTTGGTTCTTTCTAATGGATGGTTAGAAAAATTTAAGAAACATAATAATATTTAAAGATATCGTATGCATGGAGAAGCAGGAAGTGCTCCATTAGAATCACTTTCAGAAGAACGGATGAAACTGCGTAGACTTTTAAGCTGATATACTCTTGATCAAATATATAATATTAATGAAACGGGACTTTTTATCAGATGCTTCCTAATCAAACGCTTTCGACAAATCCTATTCTTAGTCAGAAAAAAAATAAAACTAGAATAACAGTCCTTCTTAGTACTAATGCGACAGGAACTGATAAACTTACACTATAGGTTATCAGTAATGCGAAGCGTCTAAGAGCCTTTTTATGAATTAATTTAGAATGGCTTCCTGTTCATTACCGTGCAAATTCTAAGGCGTGGATGAATTCTTCTATTTTTGAAGAAGTGCTTCGCCATATGGACAATTATTTTAAAATGCAAAATAAAAAGATCCTGCTCTTAGTTAACAATACACTATTGCACTTTGATTCACATTTCCGCTTTTCAGATGCAGTAGCTGAACAAGGTAATAGTATCAATATTTTTTTTTGATTTTTTATATTTAAAGAACCTTTGACTAATTATAATTAATATTTTTAAGAAGAAGAAGATGATAATACTAATACTGGCGAATCTAGTGGAAATCAATCAAGAATTCCAAGATCGACACGTGGTATGTATTAATATTAAATTAGTACAATTTTTTAAAAAATTTTACTAACTTTACTTAAAATATTTAAAGGTCGTCGTGGTAATAATAATAGTAGGAATGGGATACTTCTCGACTTAATCTAACTCATATTGAAGTAGTTTTTTTACCACTTAATACTACAAGTCATTTATAATTACTTAATGCTAGAATTATTAAAAGTTTTAAAGCTCATTATAAACGAAACTATTGCTATCATATTTTAACACTTTTTGAAGAAGGTAAGAATATAAACAAGAAAAAAGTCAATATCAAATAAGCTATTGATTATTTAATGAATGTATGGAATAATGTAACCAGTGAGACAATTTCCAATTGCTGGATTAAAACTGGAATATTACCTTCTTTAACTGAAGATGATATAACTGATATAATACGAACTCAACAAAATGTTTTAAACCGTGAAATAGCAGATATTAACAAAATAATTGATGATTTAGATATAGAATTAGAAAATCCTTTTGCTACTTTATTAACAAATGCATTGAATGATTTCTTTTGTGATTTGGAGAAAGATATACCAACTGAAGATATCTTAGATGAAAATAACATTATCAAATTAATTCAAGAGGAAATGGATAGTGAGAATGATAATTTAGATGATTCTAAAGATGAGCTAGTATTAGTTTCTTTAGATGATGCAACAAAGTCTTTACAAACTTGGATAACTTTCTTTGAACAGCAAGAAACAGATGAATTTAAAGATAATGATGAGCGTGTTTTTAGGAAATATCTTAAACAGTTCAGAAACTTAAATCGCAAACTAAAAAGCAAGTTCTAATAACTGATTTTTTTACTTATGAAGATTAAAATTTTATTGTTAAAAATAATGTTTTTATAATAATCAATATACATTGCAATAAATTTTATAAATACTCTATATAGTCACTATGAATGATTTTTAATTATAATTGTGATTATATAGAGGTTTTATTTTATAATCATACTTCTATATAATCACTACTTAGAAGTGCAACCAACTTGGTGATTATATAGAGGTCTAATTGTATACCAATCAACTATAAGTATGCCAATCAGCTATAATAAAATAGGTCAAATTTTGGCTGATTCTTGGCCAATTTCTGATGTATGCTAATCGGCTAGGCTGATTTTTGATAATTTGCTGAATTTAGGCTGAATTTAGGCTGATTTTAGGCTGATTTTTACATGTCCAATTTTTTTGATTTTGACCAGTGCTAGCTTCTGTAGCATCTAATAGAATTTCAGTAACATGATTGACCAATTAGGTACATAAGAAGCAGCTTTTTTAATGTTCAATAGTTGAAATATTGTATTATTTATATCGGGAAGTTTGAGAATACAAAATGCATCACGTTTAAATTTGTCAATAAAGATTACTTTGATAATTGATTAGTTCTGATCAATAGGATGCTTTTCTCTTGTAGCATTAATAAACGAGTTGTATTTGTTATAGTACAGATCAGTAATCTTTGAGATCTTCATTTGAGAGTTTAGTCTAAGAAATTTTTTCATAAGGATGTATGTGAAAAATTTTACAATTTGAGTTGAAGATGCTTCAAAATTAAGGGTTGAAGTGTCTAACAAATTTTTTGACACGTCAAAAGACTCGTTAACACTCATAGTGATTTTTTGTATAGTTATTTTTGAAGTGAAAGTCTCAGGACCTTTTTCTTTATTAAGTTTATTGGTTGAACTTTTCTCAACAGAGTCAACTTTCATTGTGCTGGTGTTTTTTGAAAGGATAGGAGTAATAGGTGCATTTAGATATTCTACAATAAGGTTATTATCAGCAGTTTGAGTTGTATTTTATTTTTTGTTAGTTATTTTTCAGTAGCTGATGATGTAGAGTGACTGTGGTTAGTGTTCTTTCTATCAGTTTTTCTTGGCATTTTTGTTAGATTGTTAGATTGACAGAAAGAGTTTTTTCATTATCTACATTTTTCATGAATTTTTTTTTAAAGTGCAATAGTTTCACAATATCTTTATTATAAAAGTAAATATACAGTGGTAAGCAAAAGAAACGCAACCACTATTGGTTACCTTTAAAAGCTTATAACAGGTTAACTATGGGGGCT